CAGCGCCACGCCTTCCCCGCCGCTCAGTAGGTGAAGACCAGGTCGGAAAAGTTCGCCTCCAGCCAGTCCCCCGCGATCATCTCGCTCAGCTCCGGGGTGCAGTAATCGGGGAACTCGAAGTGCGAGCCCAGGCTGCCCTCGCTGAACGAATCCAAATCCTTGTCCACCAGGGACAGGGAGAGGTTGCCCGCGGCGGAGCCCGCCCCCAGCTCCGCGCCGGCGTGCGGGTGCTGGGAGAAATTCAAGCTGAGGTCGAAGAGGAGGTCGTCCGCCTCCTCGCTGCCGGAGGACGAGGTGGAGATGGAGCGGGAGGAGGCCGGCGACAGGCTGGGCGGCTGCGGCGGCTGCGCCGGGGGGCTCTGCTTGGTGATGTTCTTGAAGCTGTAGTACAGTCTGTTGCTGCCGCTGCCGCTGCCGCTGCCGTGCGCGGCGCCGCCCCGCACCTCCTCGTACAGGCTCGCCCCCTCGGGGGACTCGGCCGAGGAGCTCAAGGTGGGGCTGGCCGGCACTTTGGCCACGTTGTACCGCCGCAGCTGCTGCTGCTGCTGCTGCTCGTCCTCCTCGTCCTCCTCGTCCGCCTCCTGCTTGATCCGCAGCTGCAGCTCGTCGTCGTCCTCGTCCTCCTCGTCCTCCTCGTCCAGGAAGACGCACTTGACCGCCTTGCCGCTCACCTTGAGGCCGCCGAAGACGTAGTCTTCCCCCGCGTAGTCGCCGTGCGGGGCGGCTTTGGCGCCGGCCTTGGGGGGCGAGGCCGAGGCCGAGGCCGAGGCCGGCGGGGGCTTGAGCTTGCTGCATTTCTTGCCGGAGCTCTTGGCGCTCTTGCTGCCGCCGCCGCCGCCGCCGCTGCTGGGGGGCGCGTTTTTCTCCGGGCTCTGGCCGGCGCTGGGCTTGGAGGACGGGTCCATTTTGGGCTTTTTCCTGGGCCTGTATTTGTAGTCGGGGTAATCGGCCATGTGCTTGAGCCGCAGCCGCTCCGCCTCCCGGATGAACGGGATCTTCTCGCTGTCCTTCAGCATTTTCCACCGCTTACCCAGGCGCTTGGAGATCTCCGCGTTGTGCATGTCCGGCGACTGCTCCATGATTTTTCTCCTCTCGATTTTCGACCACACCATAAACGCGTTCATGGGCCGCTTAATGTGCCCCGAGGCCGTTTTGCACCAGTCCGGGTCGCTCTCGTCCAAGGCGACCGGGCTGCAAGCCATGAACTCGCCCTCTTCGGTGTCCATCGCCTCCCGGGGCAGGTTGCTCTCCGCCTCGGGACTCTCCGCTTGCTGCACCATGGCGGGGCGGGGGGCGGGGGGTCTTGCGGGCGCCGCTGCTCCTTCCCTTTGTTCCCTCCGAGCCTCTCCCCGCGCCCCCGCCGGCCCAACGAGCCCCGCGTCCCGCCCGCTGCTCCCGCTCCGCTCGTCCCTCCCCCCGCGCAGCAGCCGGCCCGAGCTCCGCCGCCTCGCGCTGCCCCTTCTGCAAAAGTTGCAGGTTCTCCTCCGAACTAGTTATCAGGGTTTCATATGGGTGACATCACTCCCCCCGCCAGCCAATGGCCTGCCTCGGCCGCCTCCCACTGGCTCCTCCTCTCTGCCTTTATTAACTCACCCCATGCGCACACACACCCCCTTCGCCCGGCTGGCTGACTGGGGGGGCGGGGAGGTGCTGGGCCGGGAGCTTCGTCTTCATCTACATCTGGCAAAATAAAAAATAACAAACTGAAGCGGGAGGCAGGGGCCGTGAATGCGTTCGTCCTCCCCTCCTCGGCGGAGAGCCCACAGATTGCTTTTCTTTTTTTCTTTCCTGGAGAATATGCAGTAGTGGATGTGAACCTGGGGAGATGATTTCCCATTGCCTTGTGCAGTCATGCTGGGCGAGTTCATGTCCTAGGAACCTCGTGTATCCTCTGGGAGTCGGCTCTCTGCTTCCCGCAGGCTGAAGGTGGCGCTTTAACACCACAAGCCTTTCCGAACCACCAGCTCCACTCTTTCTTTTTTGCAAGGGAAAGAAATCAATTTCCAGCTAAAGTGCTGAAATCTTCTTCTGTTTGCATGTGGTCTCTTTCGCCCCTCCTTTGTCTTGCCTCCAAACCTCGCTCATGCCCAAGTGCATCCTCTCTTCACTTGCATTCCCGTTTGTCTGGTTTAAAAGCCAATAGCAGGGGTAGAGTCAAGTGGTCCGGCTTTCCATCAGTCACCATTCATCACACCCACTGGAGGAAAACCAGTGGAGGCTTCTTAGCCTGACACTGCCTTTTGGGGCATTTACAGGCGCAGCTTAGGATACTGGTACCGAGGCACCCCTGGCCCTGCTCCCAGCTGTGATCATTTTTTACTCATAAAAAAAGGTGACATCCAAACAATCCGGATTGGATGGAAATATTTTTTCCGCCTGTGATTGATTCATCTTTTTTCACCGATTCTCAGAACGGTGTTTTAACACTTTTGTTTTTCTTTCCCTCTTTTGTGGTAGTAAACCAGAGCAAGTAGGTCAGCACTGTGATTTAAATCAACCGCTAAAAAAGGTCAGGGTCTTTTAAAATCTTGTTTGCATAGTTTTGGATTTCAGTATCTCACCAATGGAATTTGTTCATTATTTTCAGAACTCTGTATCTATAATCAAAATTATTTCTTTAGGATACAGTGATGATAAAGTCCCCAGTCAGAACCAAGACCTCATTGGAAGAGGCATACAAGCACAGGGCCTGTAACATAGAGCGCAGACCTCTGCATCCAAGAGGAAAAGTTTGGAGTATCAAGATTATAATGTACCACAGGAGATCACCCAAACCAATGAGCTGATTCCTCCCCACCCTTGAAAAGTTCTGCCATGTTGTAACATATCGGAAGAGTTCAATTAGGGCATGTCCAGATGAGTGCGGACATGTGGTACGCGGTGCTGCAGACCCATCTGCATGTGGTACGCAGCGCTACACACCCCACATGCTGCATATGCAGGCATTCCCGCACTGCTCATTTGCAGAGTGAGGAGGTGGGGGTAGAGTCGACACTGGGAGATCCCAATGCCAAAAAAACCTGTGCCTTCTTTAAAAACCGGTGCGGTGCACGTGGCAGCAGCGTGTACCTCTGGTAACTGGAGCCTGACCACCTAGGTCATGCTCTGGAGCTTGGCCAGGCTCCACGCTGCTGAACTGCCATGGCTGCAGCCCCCAGAGGCCCTCAGCACCCAGGTAAGCCTGCTGGGGCCATCCCTCCCCTACTTCACCCAGGGCAATGTGCTGTGTGCCAGAGCGCACGTCCCTGGGGAAATGCATGTTCCAGCTCATGGGGACGCATCCTTAGTGTCTGTCTCTTGCAGTGGCCGAAGCCAGTTTCTCCGAAGAAGAGTACACGGTGCCTGTGTGCAGTAACTGGGCACATCCTGACATACGCTTTACTGTGGAGTTGCCTAATTCAGTTTGCATGCTCTTCTCTTTCTCTCTGAGGGCTTTGACATACAAGAAGTAATTGCAGGCAAAATAACACTATTCAGCTAGTACACACATTTTAGCGAGAAACGTTTGATAAATAATCTTGTGATAGCACATTAGTTGTCTACCTTCCTCAGTAAAATTAATAGTTACGTGTTCTGACTACATATCAATGGATCTCTAGTGATAACCACTAGCTCAACCACTCAATGGAGTAATTGAAAAAAAAATCCCCAACCGTTTTAGTTCCACAGCCATGTAAAAGCGACCGTGGTCTTAGCTCTAAAGACAGGATACAAGCCAGATACAGGCAACCTTCGCCATTCGCGAATGGCGAAATCCGTGAATAAGGCACTGCGTTCATGAATGCTGTCTGCATTCATGAATGCAGTGCCCCTGGGGGGGTGGGGGGGCATGGCTCTGGTGGCAACAGTGGGAGTGCGGAGGCAGGCAGCAAGCGGAGAGCTCAAGTGGCAGCAAGCGCAGAGCTCCCGAGGAGCTCCTGAAAGTGTATAAAGTGTATTTAAAATAAGGGTTCAGCATTCACGAATATTTGAAACCGTGAATTCTGAACCCACGAATAACAAGGGTTTCCTGTACATGCTGATGGAAAGGAATAGGAAGAACAGGTGGTTAACTATTCTTTCCAAGCACTGACTGGATGCATGACATGGAAGGAAAAAGGAGCATGGGATGGAGAACAGAGCAGACTACATCATGCTAAAGTAATTTTATG